ATATTTGTTTACACTTACGATACAGTTTCAACAGCAATCTCATGGCCTTTATGTGCGACTTCTTGTACCATGTTATAGTCACAGTATTCATGGGATATAAAGAATGTACCTTTAATGAGACATCCGTTGGGATTTTTCTTATTGTGTGAAAACACTTTTTGATAGTGATTTACATAATTATCTTGATTTAATGCTCCGTCAAATGTCAACAGTATCATTTGTGGTGTCTAAAATCATTTTTGAGGATGAAAATATAGTCAACCAAATATTTTTATGATAGTCAAAAAAATACCTCTTTTGGGTCTAAGCCACCTGGTATGATGGTCCCATCTCTAGAGCAAAAACAATAAGGTAATGTACACTGGCTTGTATCACATTTCTGAGCTAAATCAATAGGATTCTCTGTACTTGGAGCTTCAGCTAAATAAAATCATGATATTTCATTGTTAGTATTGTACTGCATACCTTCTAATATGAATAAAATCTTACTTGCAGGAAGAGGTCCACACCGGGCTTCATTTTTAAACGTACATAACTTGTTAACATCATCAAAGTATAAGCCCGCAGGACAACGATTTAAGTATGGAAAATTATCCACACACTGAAATTAATATGATTGGATTTAAAAATGTATTTATACAATCGAATGTTAAAAATACCTGATAAAATCGACGACATGTGGCTGGATCAGCATAGTTTCCGTTTCCACCGACTTCAGGGCAGGTGAAAGGTTCTCCGTCAGTTTCACATAACACTAAAATTAAATTTGTTTAAAAACATGTTAATATTAAGTAATATTGAATTATTATATTATAAAATTCCATTACTCCGTCGCACAATTATTATAAGGTATAAGGGTAAAAAATATCAAGGTTCTTATCGCAATATACTTTGAATAATAGGTACAAATTATATAACATTATGGGATTTAATAATTACTTGTATTATAATAAAAGTATTTTAAATATTTTGTATGTAATAAGTTCCAAGGTTATTCTCGTTCACAATATTTTTTGTATTAGAATAAAAAATATGAAGACAAATCAGTTAAAAACAATTACTTAACCATTTTAGATTTATAAATATAAAAATATATCAAAAACAGTCAAACTAAACCTGTTATGATAAAAAAAAAACATGATAAAGGTAAACAATTTGCATTAGTTACAAACCTCTTCCAGAAATTAATTTGAATATTATATTTCTATAACATTCAATACGAAGTCACAAAAGAAATACTGGTTATTTGAGAGCTAGTAACTCCATTAATTGTTATACATTAAGGAGGCCTAAAACAATTGTGACTAATAATCTGAAATCAATGTATGGATATTTAATATAGAAATTTTTAATTCGTAAAAAAAACTTCATATTCATTTATTGCTAGGCTTTAGTTTTATGTTTTTATTTTTTAGCTCCAATGAGTTTTATCATTCAGAAATATAACATATAATAAAGCACTTACAATAAAACTATACAAACTCTTATTTATTGATCTATAGTTGCAGTTAAATATAAATACGTGATTCGAATTCTATTCTATATTTCTATATGATAAAAATTGTCAAATTACAATTTACTGGAATAGTAGGGTCAATCAAAATTAGTTTGGTACACCGTGTCCTGGGAATGTCTAGAAAAGTTCAATGTTCTTTAGCGACCTTAGCACATATTATATTTATTAAAAAACTCCACATACATTTTTTTTATTATGCCCAAAGAATAATAATTACATAATGATGTGTGAGAAGGTATTGTGGGAAGTGATAGTAAACCATGTGGTACACACATAATCGACATTTAAAAAGATGAATTGAATTGTTACGCTTTCACAGTAAGGCCAAATATTAATCTCAATATAATAATGTCTGAAATGTTCAGCTTCAAAATGAATAAGTCGTTGTTTTTTTTAAACCACTCTCGTACTTATGTAAAAAATCTTAAAGACTAAAATACTGATTTGATGAGCATGTTTTATATTTTCCAGCATTTGCAAATTGTCACTAATTGTTATTTGAAATCGGTTTCACTGATTTCACTTTTACCCACCGTGAGCTTGTTACGATTTATTACAAATTTCTCCAAATATAAAATAAATTATAGTAACTAATCTCAGGCAATACAGTGACTTGTTGTTTCAAATTGAACAAATATTTATTTCTAAATATTATGATGACTTTTAAAAACACAGAATTTTAGGTCAAATAATATTCGTAACTCTGAGCAAAGATATTAATATTTTTTGGTTTCATAATGATGTTTTTTATTTTGTTTTTGTTTTTGTGAACACTTTTTTACATAAAAAAATCTTCAAACATCGAATTTAGCTATTTTTCTTGATTTAAAATGTAGTCTAGTTGACACATCGATTAAGTAGTTTTATGATTTTGACAGTATTTTTCCATACTATTTACAACTGCAAAAAAATATCAATAAACGTCGTCTTTTAATTTTAATCAAACCTTGCTCAGAATCGTGTTATGAATACAGTAATTTTCCAGTATTTGACACCAATATATGAATCAAGTGAACTCCACATCCGGTCTCTGTGTTGTAAATATTGGACTGGCTTTTTTTAAATATCAATGTGTTTCACAGAGAACCAAAAATATTAGAGAACTTGTAATTTAAATAACAATTTCACTCTATTATCGATTAAAATATATATATTTCAAATAGTTAGGTGTGTCCGACATAAATATAACTTAATGGGCCACACTTTAAATGCACATTAATTTGTTATTTAACTGAAAAATGCAGACTTATGTTAATGGTCATGACATTATAGGTCCTACCTACCTACCTTCCTCTACTATCTATAAAATTCATGCTTTAGATAGGTACTATTATTATAATATTAAATTCGAAGCTTGAATATAATATTATGATCGGCATACTTATTAAGTCTCTGAACAAGAAAAGTTAAACTACAGACAGTAAGAACAAAATATACTAATATGTGTAATACATACTAATAAATATCTACGCAGATAAAAATTGTATTTAAAATATACAACAATATTATTTTAACCTGTACAGTTTATATAAGCTTAAAGTTGATTAGATAATTTAAAACATGCTTTTCAAAACTTAAGTTATGCAATAACCCTATTATGTTCCGTTACGTAAAATATTTAATGAACTCTATTTAATACATTAAATATATACATGCGAGACAATCAGAAACAAATATCTAATGTGTTCAGTTGTATTATATTTGTAAATTTTTTAAATTTAAATTACTTGTATTTAGTTTAATATGTATTACAATTAATAATACTGTTTTTGAAATAATTTAATAAAACATAACACTTACCGATTGGACAAAAGTAAATCGCAATCACTGCGATAAATTTAAGTGCAAAATCCATTCCTACGTCGTGGTTTTGGTTTAAAAGATCACAAAAAAAAAAATATTTACGTCATTTTTTCGAAAGCAATATTGTTTATTCAACCAGTGACCAACTTGCTTGCGTACTGTCGCTGAACTGTGTTGTACAGGTACACTGTGTACGGTGGTAACCTAAGGTTGACCACTTTCTCACACCATAACCAGTTCCAAGAAAATTTTTGATTCATCATTATCATTTTTACTATTACTATAATTATTATTATATTTATTACGATCGTGAACAAAATCGTTAGTCTTATGGGTGTATATAATATAATATAATACGATAATATATTATAGTGTGGTTGTGTTTGCTGCATACAAAGTCAAGGACACGACGGATCAATGCAGACAGACAAAAATTCGTAATGGTTTATTCTTTATTCCATTGAATAATGTATCATAAGAGACTTATTTTTATTTCTTTATTCAAATGCAATACGTATATTTTATATGGGTACATGTAGGTACGCAAGTGTAGAAATAGGCATAATTAGGTAAGTATTATGTAACTTCGCATTAAAAAAAAAATGTGAATACATGAAAATCGATTTAAAACATATTATAACATTTGAATAGGGATATACAATATTACTTTAATAAAAATACATTTCAACTCTTGGTTTAAAGTATATAGTGTTTACTAACTAACTATTAAATATAGTATATAGTAATATAAATAATATTTAATATTACTCAAATACTATTTAATGCACTTATTTATACATAAAAAAAAAATTCCAATTTATGATTTATATTTTATAACATGTATAAGACATAAATTATTTAAAATTCTATTAAAAATTAGGAAAAAAAGTGTTATTAAGTTTGATTTAGTATTATACTATATTATGAAAAAAACACGTGACATTTCATTTGTACTTTCTCTAGAACAAACAAATAGTTAGATATTATGTTTATCATTGATTTTCGAAACCAGAAGTTCAAGATTTATTACTTTCTTTTAAAAATTGTTCGAATCAACTGACATAACTTGATAATAAAATGGGAATATATGTCGCTATGTGGTCAATTAACTACTAGGACTTCATGACAAATAGTTAAGATTGCTATTTTGATAAATAGTTTTCTTATACCCAGTGACAACAATTTCAAAAATAAAATACCATTGCCAATTTAACAATTTGTTCCTTTTTTTTAGTCTGATTAATAAAATGTAACTAAATATAACGATTATACCTGATATTTATTACAGTAGGTGTATAAAGAAGTCTAAACACTTAAGCCCATAGTGATAACTAATATGTATTGACTAATGACTATCAATAATATTTTACATTTAGCATGTCTACAACGTACTATATTAGAGTCTACTAGAGTCTACTAAATACACTTGAGGAAGTCCTTCAATGTTAGACACTAAATAAATATATTACAATAACTTAAAAGTTAAAATATTATATATTTATTGAAATTGTTATATGTTAATTATAATAATATATAATATGGTTCAACTAATTTAATATATCAACAATCATAAAAGTGTATTTTCATTTAATTATACAACCATTATTTTTTTTTTAAATAATCAACAACTTTATAAAAAGTAATTGCCTATATTTATATCTGATTTATTCTTATCTAATTCTTAAACAATAATATTCCACGATTCAGCTACCTCGGTTTCATATTTTTCAAGCTGCAGAAAAAAAACATATGTTTAAATAATAATCTACACTAGTATAATAGTTTCAAATTTTAGATGTTTTATTTCATTTTAAGGATAAATATACCTTTTCAATAATATTGTCTTTGCAAGACATTCGAATTTTTTCCACAGTTGCTGGAGCATCCAACCTAAAATACCCTGTGACACCAGCATCTTCTCTTGCTGAATATATTGCATTTTTAATAGCGAAAAATACCGAAGCCGATAAAAACAGTGGAGGTTCTCCAACAGCCTAAACAATACATTTTATACTATGCAGATATCCTGCAACGGAAGGTCAAAAAATTATATTTTACTTTTGATGAGTAAACAGCCCTTGGATTTTCTGAACCTTTCAGCAATGAAACTGTAAACTGTTTCGGTATATCCGAAAATCCAGGTATTTTATATGTACCAGGTCCCCTCGTATACAACATTCCTTTTGGGCTATATACAAGTTCTTCTAATGTGAATAACCCATAACCTTGCATAAAAGCTCCTTCGATTTGCCCCACGTCGATTGTTGGATTTAAGCTCTGTCCTACGTCCATTACTATGTCTGTGCTTAAAACCTGATACGGAGAAAGAAAAAAACGATAGTAATAACCTGTTTAATGTAGAAAATATGAAACACCCTGTATACTTCATGGTCACCAGTTAAACAGTCCACTTCTACCACCGAAACAGCTGCCCCACTAGTATAATACAAAAAAAAGTTGACCGTGCCTTGATCTGTTGTTGTTCCTATAGTGTGATTTCTGCGTATACAACATAAGTAATTAATTTTCATGGTTACCGAACATCATTATTGGTATTATTCCTTAAGTTAATTATCAGAATCAATATATTGTGTAAAAAAATAATAATTAATATGCGATTGATGAGGATTAAAAACCAAACGTTTTTTGTATTACCTTATAGTAAGCTATTGTTTACTGTATGCATATCAATAAGTATTGCACAATGCACACACTACATAGGTATTTTCAATATTTTTCATACAAAATTTTTTAAATACATTTAAAGTTTGTACTGTTTTTCATCTGAACATGACCTTCATCTTTACTCGAGATATGTATATTATATGAAGTAGGTGTATGTGAAATGTACCATGTACGTAATAATATTCATAAAACCTATAATAATGCTACCTAATACGATGTATGTATATAATGGCGATATTAATGTAGAAATGAGTTACAAAAATACAAAACTATGTTATATTATGTCCAACGAATATTTGGGTATAAATATATTGCCTATTGAATCATAGAATAAAACTTATATTTAATTTAATGTTTTTAAAAACACTCCATGTGTATTACAGAGAAATGAACTTACGCATAAAATCCCGAAGCACACAAATTCACTTTTTCAAAATAAGCTGTCTTCACCCATTCAGCCCACGTACCTCCGGGATTCCTCTTCTTGATCGGTTCCAATCTGGCTTTAACGATCTCACAAGCGTTCTGCAGCACCACAAACGTTGCAGAAAAAATAGAACAATAATGTACGATGTAAGATGTAATATGTAAACCACGAGAAAATAGATAATCATCTCAGTTGTTTGGTTAAATATTAATATTTTTTCACTTCGCCTAAATATTATAGTTCTTTACTCCTTATCGTTTGATAATTGTATTGTTATCATTGTATAGGGAAATAATTCATCATCGTAGGTGGAGGGGGGAATCGGAAAATTATGACATTGCAGGCCTAGTGTGAAGAAGATACGCTTTCTGCATCGCTCTCCTCGAGTTTTCCGAAAGATTGAAATCTACTCTCAGTGTTCGGTGATCGTATTGTGTAGGACGCAAACATATGTATTAAAATTGTAATTCGTATGAAGGTTGCTGCTGAAGTCTAAAACGATATCCACCCACGGCATCGGTATACCAAACGTTGAGGGATCCTAGTTAAGGCCTCCTCCGCATCAAATTATTGTCCGCCTCCCTTAAAGAAAAATCCAGGTTTGCGAGGAACTTGCGTGCAAGTATACTCACGAGAATGGCCATCCCGTTGAGGTCTGAGCTGAAGCTGCCGGCGGTCGGCGACGCGTTGGCCACCTTGTCGGTGCTGGTCTCTTTGACGTGTATTAACTCGGCGGGTATTCCCAGAGCCCTGCTAGCCACTTGGATCATTTTTGTGTGCAGTCCCTGACCCATTTCGACGCCACCGTGTGCAAGCAATACGGAACCGTCTACGTAGACGAGCAACAGGGCCCCGGCTTGGTTCATAAACGCTGAACCTCCCGAGAACCCGATACCGTACATCGTCGGAACAGCTGCGATGCCGCGTTTCTTCAACCGGTTCGTTCTAAAAGTATGAAGTATTGTTTATGTATCGGTGACGATCGACAAATTAATTGGAAAAAACAAAATAGAGGAACTTTGAAGAAGACGATTTATAAATAGCAAGTGTAAAAATATAAATACGCCTTCAGGCAGCAGTTATAAAGATGATTTTGATCTGTACAATTCTCGTTATTTATACTTTCAAAATAAATCATATAAGAGTTTAGTACTTATATCATTATTGAATTCGAATACATTTTTTAATTATTAATTGTATAAGTAAATACATGTTTCTGTTTTTGTGTAAAAAAAAATATGCATCACAAATTGAACTATACATTTCACCTGTCCTGGTCAAAACAAGTCTTATAATAGTGCTCTAAAAATTTAAAAAAAAAATCTTAGGGAACCCCCTCCAATTCTAGCTTTGTGTAATTTTGACATATATAAATTGCAGTTGAATGAGTGGGTGGCGAGTAATTTTGAATATTATAAGTAACGAATGTCATCCGTATAATAATATATTGGGTACTACTTACTTATACGTTTAACGTTTATACATCAGAGATAACACAAAATTGATTTTTTTTACCTATAACTAAATATACAATTTGAAAGCGGGATATAAATGTTGACACGTCGTTTCATTCGTATTGAGTATCATTCTTGGAGCTTTGTATAAATATAATATTAATTCCTATTCGTAACTACTCATAAATCATAATTCATGCAATTTTTTCATACGGCTGTAATATTATGTTTAGGGTGTAACAAGGGAGACTTGACAAATGAAATAACTTTTGTTTTAATCAAGATTTGTTAATTCATTTTTTTCGTATGTATAAAGTATTGACTCTTGCGCTACATGCATAATATAACATTTTTTTTTTATTTTTTAATACAGAAAATAAAAAATTTAAAATCTCATATAAATTTTTTTTTAAATAGTCAATTTGTAAATCTTGTAATTTTCAGTATTAAAAAGTAAAAATAAATGTTTATTATACATGCAGCGCAAGCTTCAATGAATAATATATAGAAAATATTCAAAAATATTGATTAGAACAAAAATTATTTAATTTGTCAGGTCATCCTGTTACATCCTGTATACACATATACAGTATTATAATTAATATTGGAAAGTCAGTAAAGTTCACGATGCATTACAAATATTTAAATGCTGTTTTAAATGCAATATATGATTAATAGTCTCCCTTTTACCAAGGTTTACAATTGTTTTTACTGACTTTCCAATTAATGAACACACTATATAGTATATAATATACGTAAGAGTTATAATATGCGTAATACTTGTAACTATATAGCTATGATATATACCTGTTGAACTCTATAATTTCGTTAGACTTTAAAGTGTATTTCGATCTTTCCAACACTTCGTCCCAACAGTTTTTAACGGTAAAATTAGATATCAATTGATTATAATGTGTTATCTGTCCATTTATGAAGAAATTCTTTGCTCTAACTACATTTGAATCGATGTTTAATTCTCTAGATATGTGATCGATAATTGATTCTGCAAAAAACATCCCTTGAGGTGCACCAAATCCTCTAAAAGCCGTATTTGATGATAAATTTGTAGCACAAGTATATCCTGATATTTTCACATGAGGGATATGATACGTATTCGTTAAATGAGAAACACATCTATCAACTGTCTATGAAACAGAAACATCAATATTACAATATTATAATCTAATAAATTAATAATAATAAAATTGAATCAATTTAAATTGCTTAAAAATGTATAGGTGCTCACTCCCGCCGACAAATCTCTGGAACTTCCAGCATTATTGTATACAGAAATATCCAAAGCCAGGATTTGTCCATGTTCGTTAAATCCCACACGATAATGACATAAAAATGGATTTCTACCACCAGTAATTAACATGTCTTCGTGTCGGTCCAGCATGCATCTAACTGATTTACCAGTTCTGAAAAAAAAATAAAACACATTTTCTAATACCAAACCTTCCTTCCCTGCAGCCTTACTTTACAGCAGCTACTGCACATGGCACAGCTATGGTAAACCCTTTAGTTTCTTTACCACCAAATCCACCACCAAGACGTTTTGTTTTGCAAACTACACGGTTTGCCGGTATGTCTAAGCTATGTGATATACTTTCCTAATCAAATAAAATGTTTATAAAAATTATTTTAATGGTTCTTCATAATATATAAATACTTAGGTATGAAATATAAATGTGTAATATATTTTAGTTTTAAAAATAATACCAATACTCTCAATAAAATAATCCACCGATATAGTAATATTTGTTAATCTTAATTTAAAATTTTCTCCATAGACGATATACGATGGTCCATATTTTAACAGTTCATAAATAATAGATTAGTAAAATTATTTACTGATTTGACTGTATTTTATATTTAAGTTCATGTATAAAGGTATATTGCATAATATATAAGATTGGATAACAAGTTAGGTACATTGTATATTTGTTTATGTACAAAAATAATTTAACCAAAATGCACAATTATAATTTATTATATTATTATATATATGCATCCCATCTCGGGCCACCACATGAAAGATAACAAGATATTATTAAAACTAACATAACTTCAATCAATAATATAATTCAAAGCACTGAATTAAATGTACTTCCTTGGCGATTCAATAGAGATAAAATAAACTCAAGCCTATCATTCCACAACAAAAATACTACAGATAAAAACATTTATAGGAGTCTACATTACGAACTGTTGCGATCGTACTAACAAACAGTATTCCCATGGCCCAAACCAAAAGAGATGACCAGAAAGGACGATGTAATTTTTGTCCACCTACGAATAGACCACATGACACTCGGATACCTCATAGCCAAAGAAGACCCATTCCCATGCTGAACACTCATTACGGTGAAGCACATATTCTTCGAATGTCACCAGTTCAATCAAATTCGCATCAAACAGGCACTATCTTATATGAGATACTTCCACCCACTTCCGAGAAGTCCAAAAAATTAATCAATTTCATCAACGAAACAGAACTCATTTAGCCATCTCATTTAAAATTATTATAGGTACCTTAGAAAACAATGTACAATTAATATAAAATATATATTTAGTAGTAATTCAGTAATTTAGTACAATTTAATTTAATGTAAATTCTTTCTTTTTCCAATGTAAAAAAAACAAATGCTAATAAATAATGTTAATAAGTAACAACTCCGTTGTTTATGCCTTAAACAATCAATAAAAAAAATATTATAATTTATAATACGTTTTAAAGTTTGTAAGCTTTCAATACTAGGGTGTATGTAATTCAATTAAATTGTCGTTTGTTAAAAATATTTAATAACAGAATACATATATCTTTCTTTATTATTATATTTTCATACCATACTTGTGATTATAGACTATAGTTATTATTTCAATAAAAAAAATTGTTGGGTGTGGGGTGGTTATCAACACTTAATCATTACTTAAAATAGAAATCTGCAGTGCGGATTTATATGAAAATTCAAACGTATAATTTTTATTCAAAACAAACCACATTTTTAAAACGAGCTAAAGATACATAAATAATAATAATGCAGGAGATTCATCATGTATGATGCTCATTTAAGTTATACCTGTAATTCGTTTGGTGCTTGTGTTGAACTTATTACTTCGATCTCATTATGTTCATTTATCGGTATTGCTATACAACATTGAGTTTCTAAATAAAAATGATCTTGTCCACCGATTCGTAAGGTACCATTTAGACTATGATTTGATTCTTTGAAACCTTGATCTATGCATCCTTTTTCCCAGTAGGCGCAACAGCCGTCGTAAAACGATTCACTTTTAATAGCTTCCTGTAAAAATTAAAAATGGCCAAAATATTGTCTGATAATAATTGGTTTATTCTATTGACTACGGTTAATTTGTCTATAAATTATAATTTATTATTCTTTCCAAAGTCTATACATTTGTATCCATGTGCATTATAATCAGATTTATTTTTTTAAATACTTCATGTTAAGATAGTGTTCTTTGTTCATTCGTAGACCGTAGTATTTTCATTCTTGTCTCAACAGACATATATTATATACTATTTAGGATAGAAGTATAGAGTTTATACTTTATACAACCATAGATATATAATATATATATTGCATATCTTTTAATTATTGATTGATCCAATTAAACCAAAATATTTAAAATTGTACATACTTCGATGGTAATTATCGGTTTTAATTCTTCATACTGAACATGAATTAATTTAATTGCGTTCTGTGCGGTGATTGGATCTACAGCGATTAATCCACAGATTATTTGACCAACATTTACAACCTGGGAAAAATATTTATTTTTTATTTCTAGAATCTTGAATTGTAGTACTTTAAATTGTAAACAAGAGTATTCTATATTATTATACTTTTTCTCTAGCAAATACATAATCATCTTTAATCGGCAGTACACCGACCATATTGCGATTTCCTGGTAAATCTTTTTCGTCGACTACAGTCACCACGCCAGGTTGCAATAATGCCTCGGTGTAGTCTACACTTATAATTTTAGCATGGGCATGTGTTGACGTCTTAACAGCTAAATAAAGTTCATCGGAACGACGAGGTATATCATCACAATACACAGCTTCGCCTATGATAATACATAATAATATATAATATTAGGTTGTATTTTTTACTTCAAAAATGTAATATTTTTATTATTTGATTGTATAGTTACTAATATTTAATTTTATTTATTTGTTAAATATTTATTAATAAATAATGTGTTACCTGTAGTTTGTTGCATTGCGGATTTATGAACTAATGGTTTACCAACAGCGTCATCTGGACTTTGAGAATTTGGGACGACATGATAATATTGAGCATATTTAGAAATGTGTGTAACAGAGTTATTGCCATTAGTTAAATTGCGTTCATTTATCATTTCCAAACTTAATTGATTACCCACATAATGGTAAAATTTAAAAAATAGGCTAAAAAAATATAACATTTTGTACAAACATACAGTACAACAAATCAATTATTGTGATAATTTAATCATTAATCACCCTAAGACAAGGCTTTTGCGATAAGTCACCATTCCTCCAGGGGCATTTGATGCCAAAGGTAAGTCTTTAAGTAACTCTAAATACACATCCTCTAACAAAGACTCTGACCATTCTCTGTTGATTATTAATGATTTAGTTTTTTGAGCAATGACTGCAGTAGCTGACATCCCACCAAAAACTAACTCGGCATCGTTTACAATATTATTTGATATCTCTACGTAAAATGCAGCATTTACCAAGGCTATGTCATCTTCTTTTCTTCTTGATTGTTTAATTGATTTAAAAAATGTGTTCTAAAACAAATGTATACATTTTTAATTGCCTTAATACAATACTTCATTTGATTAAAAATGTATAACAAACTCTTACTTTCTGTGTAAATGGAATGAACAAATCTATTACGACCTCATCCGGATGTATGGAATTTTGTCGATAACCCGTAAAAAACGTTTTGTCCATTTTCAAAAATCGTATTCCATTTTCTAAAAATAAAATAAAATATAAATTGTGAAGTGGATACATTTGTGTGGTGTTCCTATATCTTAAACAATTATAAAATGAGGTATTACTTTTACTCTGTACTTTTAACTGACAACGAGCAGCTAAAAATATTGGATTTAAATCCGATATAGGGCTTCCCGTTACAATATTACCAGCTACACACTATAAAAATTAAAAATTAAATATAGAATTATGATTTAATATCCATATTAACATATTTAATTATTAACGATAATTTTAAAATAATGGATTTGTGAACTTACAGCAACATTACGAATCTGTTTACTAGCAAACCATGGTATCATTTCCAATATAGATTTTATTATTTGAATTTTATGATCTAACAAATTAATATCACTTAATTAAACACTGTTTTAATAATGGAGTTATAGTTGTTTTACCAGGCATAATATCAATTAGTTTCTTCAATTCATTTTCTAACTTGTCAATAGTTACCGCAGCTCCAACAATTAATCCCTTTGTACACTTTTTAATAGCATTTAACTCTGACACCTTATTCGGTTGTATCATCACTGGATATTCGCAATTTTTGAATTTTATTTCAACTCCTATTTTAAAATGATATTGAAATATTAATCATGCTGTTATATTTGTTTATATTTCATATTTATTATACTTTACCGACTTCAGTATTCCCGACAATTATCCGAGCATTGGGATACTTATATTTAAGTTCCAATAGTTCCAAAATTGATGTCGGTCGATACCACGTAGTATTTTTTCCTCTGAATATCAAATACTCTTCGTCGAACTCTTTGGTAAGCTATACATATATATTTAAATATACCTACTTATATAATATGTAAGTAAATATATTATTTTTGTTTCTCACTATAAGTTCAGGTGGAAAAATTGGTTCTTGGGAAGGATCATACGGTAAGAATTCGGATGAATTGGACACATCCTCAGAATCATTTTCAATTTTCTTAGTTTTCATACAACATTTATTTCCCATGGAACATCCATCAGAGACTTTATCACAAGTAGTCAATGTCATCAAACCCTCTAAAATAGGTCTATAACCTGTACACCTACACAAGTTGCCTGAAATATAATATTTAGCAATAACGCTCTGAACACTATAATTAAAAAAATTACATCTACCTTGTAAAGCAATTTCTAGGTCGCTTTCATCTGGTGTTTTTTCTAATGATCTGAGCATGGCATATACAGACATCACAATACCGGGTGTACAAAAACCACATTGGGATCCATGACTTTTCGCTATTCGCTCTTGAACAGGGTGCAATCTTGTTTTTGTGCTACCAATTCCTTCAACAGTTATTATAGCACATCCGTGTATGCTGACTACAGGACACAAACAAGCATTGACAGCCATATGTCTAATGTTTAATTAATTAAAGAGTTTTTAACTTAATAAATAATAATATACAAGTTACTGGACATAATATATGCATTTGTGTACAATATTAATTTAATATGATTGTTCATAGTTTAGTAGATTAAAGGATACAATGGAGACTTCTTGACGTAATCATATTTTGATACCATTACAGTACAAGCTCCACATCCTCCTTCGGCACATCCTAATTTAGTTCCACATAAACTCACTGAAGTGATGAAATTAAAGAATTTTTAATTGGTATAATTTATCGATGTTTATGACGTAGTGTTTCATTTTATGAAATGAAGACAATGATTTAAAAAAGGATACATTTATTTCTTAAATAATAAAGTAAAGTCCAATGTGGATCAGCTTTTGTTTCAACAACCTGTTTAATTAAACTCAATAAGTTTTTTTTACAAAGTTGGTAAAGTTTACTTAATATAAATATATTTAAAGAGTAGGTGGACATAATACTATTGTGGTATACAGTATATTGGTTAGATTTAAGGTTATGCGTATATACATATAAATATATAATACGTATTACCATTACCGGCGTTTTCCTATTGTGATTATTAAAATTAGATAAGAAAAAAAATACCTTTTCCAAGTATTGTATTCTACTAGTACCTTGTACACAAATTACAAGCATAAAATAAAATGTAACCAATAATATATATGTAATATATACATCTAAAATGTATCTTATTATTACGAGTTGTAGTCTTAATTAAATTACCTACCTCATCACATTCAATACGTTCAAAATTATATGAATACAGCAGTTAAATTGAATAAAACCAATACAACATAACTATTAACTAGGTACCAAAAAAGAACCCACGAAATACTAGTACTACTAATACTGTACTTTTATCTTTTTCAGGATATATCTATTAGGGCCACATGTAACTAGGGTTTGTATAGTTGTACATACAAAAGAATCAGCTTGATTCATTCCCAATACTTTTTAAATCAAATATCAATTAAAGCTAGGATTTTTATGCAATTTTCATTGTTTTTCAAAGCTAGCTACGCCATGATTCAAGATTTTTATGATTAAACTTATAGTAAATTTGTACTTAACTACATGACAATTTCAAATTCATCATTGTTTGATTATTTCTGTATTGATGATTCTACTCTATAGTTTATATCTATTATGACTTTCGATTTTTTTGGATTTTCATTTTTTGTATTGAAATAAGTTAAATTTTAGTTTATACTATGTACAGTTTTATAGAAATCTTAAGACTTACTAACGTCTATAGGCATGCCTATGAGTAACTTAAAATTATAATACACACTTAAATATATTATTTAAATTGTATTATTTTACTATTTTTTTTCTATGATTAAAAAAATTAATTATTTATCTGTACCTTTTTACCGTTGACGAAAAATATTAAGGTTGATGTAATATTTTCCATTGTGCAGCCTTTGTACAAAAATTCCGTAGTAATGTGTGCAAATTCTTAAATTAAGTTTATTCAATTCAAATAACTGTTGTAATATTTAATAATAATTCAGTTATACTAAAATTTCATATACACACATCATTTTACTAAGAGCCGTCATTTATAATAGCTTTGAAAAATATAAAACTGATAACTAATAAGGCTTCAGAAACCATAATTCATTGTGTATTTTTTTCAAACTAAAAGATAGAAAAAACAATATCGATTTCAAACCTGCATTATTTGAACATTATACGTCGATGAAATATATCTTGTGTGTGCACAACGTTTTTTTAAAACTAAGAACTAAGAACTTGTTTTCATGCAAGTCGAAAAAAGTAAAGGGCATATTTTCATATCCATAATATATATATATGTAAGTTAACAAAAACTGGTTTAGGTATTTACTATTTATGTTACATAATTATACCATAACCAAAATTTTATTCCCGGAGAGGGGACAGTAAAATATTAAAAGCATATTGGTATTTTGGAGTTCATGTATTACGTATGTATACATCATATAAATATAATATATAGTTAGATAGTATGGAACTGAGATTTCTAGACTACACTTTGTCACTTTGCATAATATATAATTAGCAGGATTTCTTTTTAAACCAAAGTTTATTTATAAGCTTATAAGTCTTATATTTCTTAAGAAAACTGTTATAAATATAGGTAAGTCAGTTAATTCTATAGGTAGTTAATTAGTGAACGTAAACATATATGTATCATTTTTTTATAATATTAACATTCTATGTTAAGTTATGTACTATAATATAATTAAGTAGGTAGTGTATATGTTTTCAATATGTTAGCAATAAAGTACCGATTTACCAAAAAAGTAAATTCTGTTAGGATGAATCGAAATCAAGAATTAATAATTCCAAAGCGGCTTACAAAATCCTGGGTAAGCTACTGAATATAGATATAGGCGTATGTTATAATACACCTTCCTCCTGTAATTTATCTTATGGTTTTTAATGTTTTAATTTTTCTAGATATAATTTAATTATAATAACGATAAAATAGATTTTCACTTACTTACAAAATTCAAATGTGATGGTATAATTAAAAATGTATTATACTCAGCATACGCGTATATCCATCAAGATCCAGTATTTTTAACACTAATTGTGTAGGACCACTGGGAACTGTTTAATAAAATGAATTGGACAGGTTATACTATCAAATAAAAATATTATATTGTTTAAAATAGTTGTATCAGTACAAAATCGATGTCATAAATAAATAAATAAATAAATAAATAAATAAATTAAAACAATTATAAAACTAATTTTAAGATGAATAAATTATTATTTGACATAATGCTTTAATTAATGTCTTTACAATATCAAATTGTTTCATTTAAGGCTTCATTTTCGTTTACCAACGAAACAATGGAGGAATTAGGTTTTGTAGTTTCTTCTTCATATTCATCATCACCTTCTAATAATAAATCTTCGGACGCTGTCGAAGGTGTGGTTGTTGTTGACTTAAGTAGCATTAGGCTAGGCTTAGGGGGTACTAACCCGACGATTTCAACCTATAAAAAAAATAGTATAAGGTATGACATTTATAAAATAATATGTAACGTAATATATTTTTAATTATATATTTACATGCAAATGTTTTATCGAAATAGGATTGAATTTAAATTTTCAAACTTTTCAATACATTATAAATTATAATAGAAATTATTTTGTAATTCTCTCCTGGAAAAATTATATGACCTTATAATTTAATGAACATTCAACGTAGAAGAGAGAAACTTGTCACAAGAAAGTTTCTCAAAGAAATTGTCAATTCTTATTTATCGATACCGAACGACAACCATAATAATAATAATATTTACTATTTTTTTTTCTGTGCCTTTTTATTAAAATGCATCTATATATATATATATAATATATATAAAGGAAAGTGTTCTCCTGATTCATAAGCAAAGCAGACCCGAACCTATTAAAGTTATCGATAATCGAATTTCACGGTGCAGTATGCAAGGATTTTTCAAAATTTTGATTTTAAGGGGTATAAATCGGCAAAAATAAATTTGTATGGAGTGTAAATTGCATATCTATTTACATATTGTATATTTGAATAGCACGGCGGCGGCGGCCCGAGGGTTTCCATAGCTACAAGCAACCTGACCTTTTTGTCCGTCAATTATGTGTTTGATCGGACTGTAGATATGAATTTTTCCGAAAAATAAAATTCTACAATCTATCTATATAAATAAATTAATCCCTATTCCCCTTTGTCAAGGCATCACGCTTATCGCTTATCGTTTACAACAGATCCATCTATAATAAAAATAATTAATAAAATAATTAACAAAATAATTCATTCATTATTTCTTAGTGCACATTTCACAGTCGATTCAATAGGAAAATTAATAAAAAATTGTATGATGCATTTTTCGATAAGTGTTTGTTCATCATAGTTAGTTCAAACTTTCAAAGAAATCAAGCTTAGAATTTTAAACAAACTTAAGTAGCAAAACTCGCAAAGCTACAAGTCAAAGATAAACAAGAGTAAATCAAACACATAATTTGATGGACAAAAATCTCAAGTTGAGGTAAGCTGGAAACCCTCGGGACGCCGTGTCATACAATATGTGTATAGCTGTACAATTTGCACGTTTATTTTAATTAATAACATATTTTCTGCGCAAATTTTGTAATTTCTTAGTAGAAATGAGTATTTTTTTATTTTTTGGTTGCCATTGGTTATAATTGGGCAGATCAAGTTTAAGCATATAACAAATCGAATGTTCGCACATTGCCTACCAAGGAGGCTGAGTTGCACTTATAGCGCTCATCGGTGTGTCTACAATCAAAATAAAAAATAAAATAGAAATAAAACATATTATTCATTCATATGGAGTATCCTGATAATAAACTGCACGCATTATTACAAGCGAATTCTCATAATAAAGAGTTGGAATTTTTAACAGGCAACGAAATGTACGGGATCAGCTAGTTTAGTCATATATATATAACAAAATTATTTATACTTAGCATAACAACATCTTTACATATTTTATATATGTTAGGTAAATAACATTAAGACTTTAATTATCTTCAATTTTGAGAATTTTTTATTTCATTCCCTCCTCATAAAATGTTACTTATAGGCACCCATGTTTACATATGCATATATTTAATATTATTATAGCATTTTGTTTTACTTCATAACTATAGTTTAGTGGGTTGGTTCCTTGCTGTATAAATTACCTTTTTTTTATCTACTTCACAATTTCGTCCAATGTATCCATCAGCGCAAAGACATCTATAATTTCCATCTTCTTCTGGCAGACTTACACATGTGGCTCCGTTTTGACATGTGACATTGTTGGTTTCGCAGTATTTAAGTTCTAAGACAAATATAAGATAATTACTCTTAATCTAGAAAATGGAGTTAATTTATCTGTTATTTGTGTTTTCAAGTATCTACCTTGGTCACAGAGCATACCACCCCAGCCGGGCTTACAATTACATTCCCATGGACGATTACATGTTCCGTGAACACAGCCTGGGTATGCGAAACATTGGGTGCAGTTCTTACCCCACCAGCCCACTTTGCACCTATAATCATCAATGCATTATTGTTTTTATTTTTATTCTTAATGTACACACTAGCTCACGTAATTAACATTGGTCATTACTCATTTATACATACCTGCATTCATTTGGTTTACGACAATATCCTCGGTCTCGATGACAACCTTCAGAGCATACGGCTATAATAAAATGCCTTTCATTTATAAGAAACTATTATTATGTTGTACACATTTTACTTACGTATCTGGCATAAAATTCCTTGCCACCCCTTTTCACATTTACATTCTAATGGTTTAGAGCATGTCCCATGCATACATCCTGGTAATGGTTGACATTCTTTGCAGAGATCACCAGTCCAACCTAGACGACATCTGCATAATTTTAACAGACACAATAATATAAAAAAACATATATTTATGCATCGTGTTGGTGTTTAAATAAATTAACTACTAACCTTATTCGTTACTTTTAAGCATTATAAAAATAAAAATTTCGACAGTTTCAACTTGCGAGTTATATACTATTTATAATTATGCCACTTCAACAATTTTTTTAAATAAACATATTATATAATTTTATAAAAAGCTTATGTTAATTCACTAAACATACAAATTACATAAAAGTACCTATTATTATGTATCATACTTTTCAAATTCATTATCTTCCCATTTTGTTGATAAATAATCCATAAAAAATATTTTTTTAATTTTTGTTGATTCTACCAAAAAAATATATTTAAAATTAAATTATAACTTATAAGTATCTAGCTATCCACCCGAGGTTTTCCGAGACAAAGTTTAGTTTTTTTATAAATATATTTGTAAAAAAAAATTGTTATGCCATATTTCTACTAATTATACTATAGTAATATAATATGTAACTAATGTGACTTATGTGTGAACACTATAGGTACCTTTTAGCTACCTATATTGATTATTATAAATACTATAGATATTATACCCTCACAATCTCAACTAATTTATTGGTATAACTTTTAATTGAAAACATTCTAGAAGTTTTTGAGAAAATTAACTACGGATAAACCAACGTGGGTTTAAAATAAAGTGACCAATTAATATCTAAATTATAAGTTAAAATTGTTATACCTGATTATTTTTAAAATCATTTATGTATAAAAAAAAAAAAATTACTTATTTGATACTATTGCTATATTGTAATATGTAACTAATACCCGATGGAAAATCTCATGAAAACAAGGCAATTCAGTTTGTTCCAAATTTTATAATAGTAATACAATACATGTTTCATGAACAAAAAAAAAATATTCATTTTTCGTGAGCTGAAAAAAAATCGTATTTAAGCTACTATTTAGCTTCTTATAGGGGTTAAAAAAATATAAACTATAATAATACCATTATAAGATAGAAGCAATTGAAATTGAAAGCCATAGGTAAAATAGATTTCAATATAATTAATTTACATCTATTTGATTAACTTACACTATCATAATATATTAGTTTTTTTTTTTTAATTTTTTACTAAAATAAAGTTTTACTGACATATGTCATCTTAACTTAATGTTGATTAGATACATTTTTTATAATATATTAGTAACTTATACGATTTTTAAAAAGATAACAACTATCTTTGTCCGTGTCCAATAAGAAATCTTAAATTTGCAATAAAAAAAAAAACTAAAAGCCACTATACGAGATGACAACTATCCTATTTCTCAAGTTGAACCAAGCAAAATATATTAACAAAATGTTATTAAATTCAATTAAGTG